CCATAATAAAGTGATGGAATTCTTGTGGATGGTTGAAGTAACTTTTTTGTTGACCACATAATCAACTACCCAATGCCCGTAGCAGATATAAATCTGGTTTGTCCTCCAGCAAACTGAGGAACCCTAAACCTTTGTGCCTAAGAATTCCACGGACATCACGATGATATCATTCATTCTGTAATGAAATTTGGACATAAACGTCAGAATTTGCAAGAGGAACAGTGAGAAATATCGTGAAGTGTTTCACTGAATCAAATATTAAACGCAGCTTTTATAGTGAAGGTACTCTTAATGGAATGAATGTTCTCGCCAATTCTTAGAGATACTGAATGTTCCATGTATTGTTATCTCTAGTAAGCTTTTCCCTAACATTAGATTCTTCACGGATATAAAGAAATTAATAAAATTAAATGAATTATGTTACTTTCCCTACAAATTGGTAAGAACTATTAAAGTTTCTATTGTAAATAATGCCGATTTACTCAGTCCCATTTGCTAGGGGTTTGCAGTGGATAGAGTTGGTCGTATCACTTTTCTGTTCATCAGGAGGACATAAATACAACTTGACTATGACTGGCATTGCGTCCTAGCTTCCCAAAGCGTACGTCAGTAGAAGTTTGCAGAAAAGTGACTATCTAATTTTCACGGTAGTATACCCAGGGAAATTCTTTCTGATCAAGGAACACAATTTACTTCTGAATTAATGGATCAAGTTGTAAATCAACTTGTGGATGTAAACAGCCGGCCGATAACAATCCAACATTGTAACGGAAGAGTGGGAATGACAACAGCAATCCTAAAGTCTATATTAAAGAAAACTTTGTTTCCTTAAGCCAACTGACTGGTAAAGTTATCTACCATGAGCTCTTTGTACTGCGACAGACTTCCAAGAGATCACTTGGAATATTCCCCTTTCGAATTGCATTATATGGGGACAAGCTCGTGAACCTCTATTTATCTACTTGAAATGGAACAGTGGTCCAAATAAATTAAAACTGAAGTCAAAGGACTTACCAGTTTTTTTTTTTTAGATACTGAGAGAAGATTAGAAGAAACCGCTGATTTAGCTGTCAAGAACTGAATATTGTACATGGAAACCATACAAGACCATATTGACCAAAAGAGTTCCAAACGTAAATTTAATATTGGCGATGAAGTTTTTAGTTCTTTACCATATAATCCAACAAATTGTTAATTTCCTGGAGCGGACCGAATACAATTATAAAAGTACTGTAATGATTAAGATCATCTCTTGATTTCAAGGGTAAAGACGAATGTAACAGGTTACCATTTCGGACTGTTCACGTGGAGAAGTTATTCTCGTGAAACACCTTCGTATGAAGAAATTTTTACTTACAGCTTAGTTAACAGGTCATGATTCGCGTAATGTAAAGTTTTTAGGTATTATAGATCACTATCTCGCACAGCAATCGAAGGAACTACTTGATATCTTAACTGTTGATTCTCCCAACTAAAACTCAAACATCACATCAAGAAGTGAACTAACTAGTAAACAAAAGTCTCAAGTAAATGCCTAGCAAAATACCTTTTACTGACATATTCACAGAGATCCAGACTTACCAGACTTGAATTGTCACTCATGAACCAGTAAGACGGAAAATCTGTCCTGTGACGGTTCACTTACGGAATACATTTGATAACGAAGTTGGACAAACTCTAAAGTTAATATCATTGAACCTTCTAAATCAGCTTTCTGTTCAGCGTGTCCATGATTAAGCAACCAGACAATTCTTACCTGACTGGCTCAATGATTTTTTCGTTATAAAATGTTACACTAAAGGGACGATGATCCCAGTCCAGTAATCGAATCAAGACTTGTATGAATTCATGACTTAATTTTTCTCTAAATAGACATCTCACAAGCTTCCATCAAGTGTCATTACACCGACTCTAAACCATACACTGCTTACCTCCCTACACATAAAGTGACTAATACAATACGCACAATGTCTTTACGTCTTGTCATCCGCGGTGTGCCACGTATATGCCCCGGCGTATGAGAATATTCCTTTCCTGACCTCAAGAATGTTTCAGATATGTATTTCGATAATATTTACAATCATGATTTATGTCTGGGATGGGGGGATCATCTTACTACACTGTCGCTGGTTTTAAAAAGACTAAGAGCTCAATTGCCTTACTATCAAACCACAGAAGTTTTATGTGCTATTTCAAGTACAATACCTCGGGTTTATTATTTCTGACAGTAATTTATCACCTCTTCCTAACAAGACGAAAGCAGTTCTAGAAAGCTCCTTTCCCAACTACAGAAACAAAATTGCTAAGAAGTTCCTTGAGTCCAGTAAATTTCAAGAGAGAATTTTTGTACATAATTTAAAAGGTCCCCCCCCCCCTAACTACCATTCTCACAGACTATATTAAAAGTATGCAAAGGAACCTCCTTGTTGTTCTGAAGAGCTGTAGAAAACTTCGAACAAAGTAAAGAAATACTTTCCCAATCTCCTGTATCTAAAATTACAGTTATTAATTAAAGCTTTTGTCCCTCCGAACGGATGCCTCCATTCAGGACTTCGGGCTGATACCACTACAGTAATATGATGAGATACCTTCCCTATATCTTACCCATGCCACCAGTAGAAGCTTCATGCGAGGGCAGAAAACTACTCCACTGTGGAGAAGGAAGTGTTATAGACATTGTATGGGGTGAAAGTGGGTTCAACTACTACTTATATGGAAAACCCTTTGTGCTGAAACAACGTCACAAGCCACTGATGTACCTCAGAAAAGACCACTTCTCAAAAAAATAATATGCTGAACCGAAGGTGTACATATACTTTTCCCTCTGTAACTTAACATACTGCCGTCCGAATATAAGTTTAGGAAAGGGGATATTTTGAGGAAAAAAAAAATTAAAAAAAGTGTGGATTTATAGGTTGTTCAGGACACCCAGGAACCTCTAGCGTGGTTACAGCCACTCTTCCATCTAGCGGGCGAGGCTAAGACTTCAGTTCCTAGCGTCTGAGTTGCTTTATTTCTATTCCTGGTAATATTAACCTTACCTGGTGTGGGTTGAAGTTTGTAGAATAACTCACATCCACTCTTCTCATGTTCAGGTACGGATGATCTACAAGGATTATTCTGTTCTTGATACAATATTTCCCTGGATACAAGTAATGACATTGAAGTAGAATACCAGCCTTATGTTCTTTCTTCAATGTCATACTTATTTAACACACTTATATAACCAGTTCTCTTTTAATATCAACTCGCTGCTGCACCTGGTCAAACCAGGGTAGAACCTTGTTAATAGGAGCAAGATCCCTGTCTACAGTACGTAGTGGGACATAACGATTCCTCCACCTCTAAAATACTGAATTGTGTGATACAACCAATTAGTGACAGGATTTTCAGAACATTGGACAACACCGCCACCCTTGATAACCAACACCAATCTCCTATAACATCATCAAAGACCATCAGGAATAAATCTCATGCCCAACATCCTACTGGAACCACAGCGGCCAATATTTATTTAGTTATTTTTAATAATTAAAAAAAAAAAAATCCTTTTTTTTAAAAAATATCAAATTTATTATCCATCAAGTTATTTCAAATTGTTAATTTTTATCCTTTCTTTTGTTCAGTAGGAAGGCGTTTCCCCTGACACTGTGTACAACAGACGACCAATACAGAAACACAGAAGAACAAATTATAGTTCAGTAACAGAGAATGACCAGAACAGTAACACAGAAAACGGGTACAGTAAAACAGAGACGACCAGTACAGAAAATTAAAACAAAAGAACGGAGAGTACAGATACGTATAAATACAGAACAGAGCAAGAAAAAAGTACAGCAATAGAAGAAGTAACAGTACGTTTATTGCAGTACGGGATATCTTTCTGGGATCACGCATGATTATAATTACATCAGCTTACATTCACTGCCTCTGCTGCTGCCTCTATTTAAACTGAAGAAGCCTACTGTGTAGGCGAAACGTTTTGATTGAAGACACCTAACTGTTGGGTCTCACTCCAGCAACAAACCCACGGTATTGTCCCGGCCGGGTCTTTTCCAGATGACCTACGTTATGTTAGAGTACCAGACATGTGTACCCAGGAGACCTGTCATCTTCACATCGCTCAACGACTCTAATCAATATTATGCATTTCTGTTGTTCAATGATTTATTACATCTTTGTTAATGTAACTCCGTGAATGAAACACAATATTTTAAATGTAAACCACTGTTAGCGCTTTTGATTCAAGATTAACTCGTGAATTATACATAACATAAGGAACCACTTCCGTCCGGCTTCTAGTCGAGCCAGTGAGCCATGGTTCGGATATAAGAGTCACCCCCTCGCTTCAGAGTACATGTTGAATCCAGAATACAATCTTGCCGGATTTAACTTCATTTACTCCTAATGTAGCGCCACTGTCATGCCTCTGGTTGCCTCTAGAGTGTAACCAGACCTCAGAGCCTGATGTTCCTTCTTTAGGTGACCACGACTAACCTAGTTCCAGGACCATGTCACCCAGAGTTCATCTTCCTCAGGTCAGATCCATATGCTCCGTGGAATGTCCGCCGGTGTTCCCCTTCCACTTCCCAAGGTCAGCCTCACTCCTTTTGCTTACCCGGTTCATGTATCCAGGAATCATCCGTGCTCCCGATGTCTCCCCTTCCTCACTTCCAAGGTCAGCCTTCATCCCTCATTATGTATCCAGTACAGCCTCCCCAGGATGTTTCTTCCATTCCAAGGTCAGATTATCATGCTTTCCCCGTCATGTCTCCAGATCCATGCCTGGGATCTCCCTTCCCACTTCCCAAGGTCAGCCTCAACTGCTGGTATTCTTGCTTTCCGGAGGTTCATGTATCCAGGAATCGATCCGTCTACCGCCGGATGTCTTCCCTTCCCCACTTCCCCAAGGTCAGCCTCAACTCTGTATCTGCTTTCCAGGTTCATGTACAGGAACTCGTCTCGATGTTCCTTCCCACTTACCAGGTCCTCACAACAACCTTCCCCAAGTTTATGTATCCAGGAATCCATCCGCTCGCTCCCGGATGTCTTCCCTTCCCCACTTACCTAAGGTCAGCGAGTTAGGTCAGTGCCTTCCCCAGATCAGTGTCTCCAGGAGTCCACTTGGTGTCACCTCAGGTGGAATCCCTTTCCCACTTCCCCAAAGTCAGCGGTATTCTTGCTTTACCCAGGTTCATGTATCCAGGAATCGATCCGTCTACCGCCGGATGTCTTCCCTTCCCCACTTCCCCAAGGTCAGCCTCAACTGCTGGTATTCTTGCTTTCCGGAGGTTCATGTATCCAGGAATCCATCCGCTCGCTCCCAGATGTCTCCCCTTCCCCACTTACCCAAGGTTAGCCTCAACAACAACCTTCCCCAAGTTTATGTATCCAGGAATCCATCCGCTCGCTCCCGGATGTCTTCCCTTCCCCACTTACCTAAGGTCAGCGAGTTAGGTCAGTGCCTTCCCCGGATCAGTGTCTCCAGGAGTCCACTTGGTGTCACCTCAGGTGGAAATCCCTTCTCCACTTCCCCAAAGTCAGCGGTATTCTTGCTTTACCCAGGTTCATGTATCCAGGAATCGATCCGTCTACCGCCGGATGTCTTCCCTTCACCACTTACCCAAGGTCAGCCTCAACTGCTGGTATTCATGCCTTTCCCAGGTTTATGTATCCAGGAATCCATCCGTTCGCTCCCGGATGTCTCCCCTTCCCCACTTACCTAAGGTCAGCCTCAACTACAACCTTCCCCAAGCTCATGTATCCAGGAATCCATCCGTTCGCTCCCGGATGTTTCCCCTTCCCCACTTACCTAAGGTCGGCGGTGCCTTCCCCGGATCAGTGTCTCCAGGAATCCACTTGTGTCACTGAGTGGACTCCCTTCCCCACTTCCCCAGAGTCAGCGGTTGCCACCCTCAGTGACCTTGCTGAATGGAAACTTGGTCTTGTCTAGCTGGTCTACGGTAGTGACTGTCCAGGTAGGTGGAATTACTGGAGGGGACACACAGTAAACTGCGTCCAGTAATTACATCCACCAAGACAGCCTGGAACCGTAGACCAGCTGGACGAGACGAAGCTCGTACACAGCTCGGCCACCTCGGGGGCTAATTAATTACAATTTTGGAATTCCTCTTATGTTACACTATGAATTTATACTGAGAACAAGTTTTTTTTAACTTATTTAGCAGTTTAAATGTGTTTTTGAGCGACATTCTTTGTGAAATATGTAAATATATCAAGATGGACACTTTTGAGACACTAGTGGAGGACTGTGTGTCGTGTGTAACATGTTATTTTGCATAAATGAATGTAATATCTACGTGTTATTGTATATTGGTGTCATATGTACCTGTTCTTGTGTGTTCACGAATGTCATGTGTACATGTTATTATGTATGAAAAAGTATCAAATTCAAATCTCTAAATTTCCTCTATGAAAACTATAACAAATTTATAATAATAGCTATTTCTGGTGTTTCGTAAATGAATTTGAAGGTCGGATATATACATACATGCGCGCACACATTGTATGTGTGTGTGTGTGTATATATATACAGAGTTTTACATAATGTGTTAATAAAGCTGTGTTTAGAGTGACACCTGGTCTACATGATGGCTTACTCTGTATATACTGTCTTCTGAGCAAAGTACAATGACATCACACGTCTTTAAGACCACAGGTGACATCACACGTCTTTAAGACCACAGGTGACATCACACAACATTATCTAACACCAAGTTTTTTGTGTAAATCTTTACCGTCTTTCTTGCATATTATAACTTAATTCAACACTATTGCTCTCAAAACATTTGCTAAGATTAAATACATTTTTAACTCTAGTATATTTTTATCAAACCTATAAATCCACCTAAGTGTTGCTTCCCTTTATATAAGTGTTTTTCACTTGGGTATTTCATTGTTTACACTTGATGCATATATTAATTTCCCTTTCAGAATTCACACTCTTCTTTGGTACGCATATTTTGTCTTTTCCATCATTTCATCCATCATATTTCTGACACACACTTTATGGTCAACAGTCTTATTCCATTATAATTATTACATTCTTTAAAGTTTTCCCTTTTCTTTTATAAACATTATGAACAAAATCATTAAGTATTCCAGGACTTTATTACAACTGCCTCACAAACTTCAATCTTAATACATTCTAAATTTCCCAGTTTTATTCTTCTTATTGACTCATTTCTTTTATTCTGACTGACTAACTGTTGCAGCACAGCATGAGTCAGCCAGGCTGACAGCAGAGTCAGCCAGGCTGACAGCAGGTGAGTCAGCCAGGCTGACAGCATGTAGCCAGCTGAACAGTAGGCTCTTCTTTATGTGAATTTTTATTGTATTCATTAGTTTTCATTAAGTTTTTCTGATTTTACTTTTCACTTTCATCCATAACATCATACAAACACACTACTACGTACACATATATACATACATGTGTACACATACACATCACTACAAACACACTACTACGTACACATATATATACATGTGTACACGTTCTCATAAGCATATCTGCACTCTCTCACGCCACTGTTTAAATTAATGAATTCTATATGAATAGTGTAAGAAAATTAAGAAAATTCTTGATCATGTTATTTAAATTTTCTTAAGAAACTGGAATGAGGGTTACAATATTTTGATGAAATATTTTGAAAAGGATATAAATATGTGAAGAAGTGATTAACTTCAGAGACTTGGAGTTAAAACAGAGATATTCTTATAAATTATCTTAATAAACATTTAGTTTAATTAGAATTAATTATTAAATAATTCTCTCAGTTTTCTCATACTCTCTTCTCTCACCTCTTCAATAATGACATAAGAAACATTCACCACAACAGATGGATAAAAAAAAAACTCGGTGATGAAAATAAAAACTATCAACCTGGATGATTTCGATCTACTGATAATAAGAATTTTGGTGGTGGCTGCCACAACCTGGCCAGTACGAAACTGTGTGTATAAATGTCTCCCAGACTGTTGTTATGTCTGTGATGTAATCAATGTTAACATATATTACACACTGAATGTTGTGGTGCACTATGTTGCAGAGATATATGACACACTGAATGTTGTGGTGCACTATGTTGCAGAGATATATGCACACTGAATGTTACAAAGATATGCACATATGTTGAAGTAATGAATATGACAACGAATGTTTGTGAAGTGCGAAATATGATCGAATGAAGATTGGTTTGTTGAGATTTCACACGTTGAAAGTTCCTTCTCTGCTGTTATGTGTTTTTTTACACCCCATCGTTGTGTGTTGTGATGTGTATAAAGTCTGTCTGATACACCAGAGTTAATAACACTGTATGTAACCTGTCTGAGTAAATACCTGATAGAAAACTTATTGACACAGGATTCTTTCTTAGGATTTGTTGGTAGAATCAAGTTTATAAGACTGGACGCTATATGAGATTACTACTGGAAGGACTGTTACAGAAGACTTTTAGTAGAAGACCTCCGTAGGTTTCTGTTGGAAATAGTTTTGGCAACACTCTATTGGTAAAAGACTTTAGGTAGCGATTCGTTTGTAACGTATAAATGAATAAAACAGACTTTCATAGATGTTGCAAGAAACCAACCACGGGGGGCTATAAACCCGCGGCAGAGTGTCTCAAATCCCGCCGGTTTGGTTAG